TTCCAGCTTTCCCTTTGTGATATGGAACCTTGTAGTACAATTTCAAAAAGATCCATACACTTACACACAAGTTATTGTCATGAAACTAGAAAACTGCTTGTTTTTTGCCCCTTTTTGGCCCCTAATTCCTAAAATTTGGAGGCAATTACCCCCAAAATCAATCCCAGCATTCCCTTTGTGATATGGAACCTTGTGGTACAATGTCAGAGAGATCCATACACTTACACACAAGTTATTGTCATGAAACTAGAAAAATGCTAGTTTTTTTGGCCCCTTTTTGGCCCCAAATTCCTAAACGTTTAGGGCAATTACCCCCAAACTCAAACCCAGCTTTCCCTTTGTGATATGAAACCTTGTAGCACAATTTCAGAAAGATCCATACACTTACACACAAGTTATTGTCCTGAAACTAGAAAAATGCTTGTTTTTTGCCCCTTTTTGGCCCCTAATTTATTAAATTTTGAGGCAATTACCCCCAAAATCAATCCCAGCCTTCCCTTTATGGTACAGTACAATTTCAGAGAGATCCATACACTTGAACACAAGTTATTGTCTGGAAACTAGAAAAATGCTTATTTTTGGCCCCTTTTTCCAAAACGTTTTGGGCAATTACCCCCAAACTCAATTCCCGCTTTCCCTTTGTGATATGGAACCTTGTAGTACAATTTCAGAAAGATCCATACACTTACACACAAGTTATTGTCATGAAACTAGAAAAACGCTTCTTTTTTGCCCCTTTTTTGGCCCCTTATTCCTAAAATTTTGAGGCAATTACCACCAAAATCAATCCCAGCATTCCCTTAGTGATATGGAACCTTGTGGTACAATTTCAGAGAGATCCATACACTAACACACAAGTTATTGTCTGGAAGTTACAAAAATGCTTATTTTTGGCCTCTTTTTGGCCCCTAATTCCTTAACTGTTGGTGCCATAAACCCCAAAATCAATCCTAACCTTCCTTTTATGGTATTGAACCTTATGGTAAAATTTCATAGAGATCCATTCACTTAAACTAAAGTTATTGTCCAGAAACTAAATGCGTCTTCGGACGACGCAGACGACGACATGATAGCATTATACGACGCAAAATTTTTTTTGCGGTCGTATAAAAATATAAAATATGATTTTTTTTTTTTGTTCAATCATTAATTAAAGTGAAATAGTGAAATAATAATTGGCTTTTAACAGCCAGTTTGGTTCAGTTTTGTCAAATTAAGCAAAGAAACATTGCTAATGAATTATTCACTTGCAAGTGAATAATTGGACCCCATTGAATCCGTATTCATGTGAACTTTAACTGATCCCTATAGCCAGAGATGGGTTGCGCATGAACTAGGCGTGTTCAGTTATTAAATGCAAAAGAATGTAAACATTGAAAGTGAAACAAGGTTAAACCATTTGGTTGACTGGTTCGATCTAGAAAAACTCATTCTTATACAGGTAGAAACGATTATTAACATATTTTTTAAACCTATGATATAAAATCAAACAGACCTTGAAAAATCCAATTGCATGAGTTAGCAATCTAATTATATCTAGGTTTATGTTTATATTGGGTTATATGACCATCGACAGTCTTCGGAGGTCACCTGGATGGTTAATTAGATGGCGTCTAGACTAAAATACACAGGAAATGCAAATATATACTATCGAGTTTATGCATGGTAAATTGTTTATTATAGACTTTTTATAATTTGGATATGGGTTTTAGTTTGTTATAAGTCGATTACAAGAATCTGAGTCAAATTGGTGAACATGAATTTGACAGCTTATGCCCCTTTAAGGCACTGCCTTTAATCAAAGTGTTTGTGAGCACTAAAGGGTAAAGATTGCTTTCATTTTGCAATTTTGTGAATTTTTATATAAAACAATGAATTGTATTTTGCTAGGCAAGTTAAAAATTTGTGTTTGAGTTATCTTCCTTTGTTCATGATTGTACATTTTTAGTTGAACATATTTCTATAACATTCATACACCATGCATTGCTTGTGTAATTTTTCATAAAAAAAATGATTTCGTGGCAAGTATGGTATTTCAAATACACATCATATTGTAACTCAAATATCAAAGTATAACATATCATCAATAAATTGCATGACATTGACTGGATAGGATCTAAATAATGATCACTTCACTGCACTATTTTGTTTGAACTATCAAAGGTAGTGAACAACCTTGGGAGATATATATATATCAAGTCAGAGTACCATAGGGTTTTGATCGCATTAAATGCAATCTTTACCCAAAAACAATTATCAATATCCATCATGATCAAACTAAACAGGAAACACTAATCAAAGAGCTGAAAGCTCTAAGTAAAAATGAAGCCATTGTCTCTCATATTAGGATATTTTTGATGCAAGTCTTGATTTTTACTTAATTTACCTACTGAATCTTAGGCGACGTTCAGTTTATGGTAGGTAGGGTAACTGATAGAATAGATATGAATTGTTTCCACAATCTATAGCGTTTTTATTTGTTTGTCAAGATATATATATATATATATATATGTGTGAAGTGAAAATAACTACTTGTTGTTCTGCTGTACAAAGAAATAGCTCAAGACTAACTGAACAATCTACAATATTCAAAGTAATATGTGAATTTGTTTCCCTTATTTGTAGAATTATTTAACAAAATGATTATGAAGAGCCTGTTGTAAGAAAGCTCTTATACAAAACATAGTCCTTATTCAAGAGATAAGTTACAGGTGACCTAGTGACATAATCACATTGTTATTTCAGTTACCTAAACGTGATCAATTTCTGTAGATTTAGACAATAGTACTGTTATACTAGTTTCACAATTACAAACAATGTGACACCATCTATACAACTTAATTTCATTGTGAAGAGCCTGTAGTAATCAAGCTTACACTGAAATCTTAAATTGACAACATAAATTATTGCAAAATTATTTTTTTCAAATGATTTAATGTTTAGTACCTTAGTCATTTATTTCAAATAATTGACCCGTAATAAAATAAGGAGATGGGGTGTGATTGCCAATGAGATAACAGTCTGAGGTACTATCTACCAGAGTCCAAATAATGTGGCTGTTGGCAGTTATAAGTCACTTTCAGACCTCAACAATGTACCAAACCGGTTTATAGTTTTCATGTACCACAGAAAAAAGAGAAGTTGTGGCCAGGTGCTGCCAGGATTTAAAACTATTAGAATTACACAGTTTTGTCTGCATTCAGAGAAAATTTCATGGTGTAAACACAGCCATTTTTGTTGGTGTATATTAGATGAACCTTAAAGGTGGATTATCAGATTATTGGTCACAGGAATATTAAAGTGATTGTTGACTTTTCAAATATAAAAATATGCACAAAGAAGGAAATATATCTGATTCCTTGTAAAAATTAAAAGATAGAACATTGTACTTTACTGGATTTGGTAATTTAATTTCAAAAATGACAACATGTATGATCTGTTACCATAAGTGTAAAATTTGTCCATTAGCTACTGTTTATTATGTTTATGGTTGAACTGCATCTTTGAACTTTGTCAACCAGTCATGATTTACTTCTTAATCTGTGTAAGAACCTTCTTGTAATTGAAAATTGGTCTGCCATGATCACGATATCTACAATATTCTGAGTTCCTGACAAGTTCAAAATTTAGCACATTTGCAGTTTACAATACCCAAAGATCAGGAGAAACAACGATTTTGATTGGCTGATCACAGTTGTCTCCCTTGGAAAAAGTTTGAGAAAGTTCGAAATTGGGAACAGTAGAATTTAACAAAATCGTGCAATCGTGACAAGGGGTCAAAATCGAGTATTTCACGCCTGAATCGTGCAAGTTGGCAGGTATGACAGGTTAAGAAATTAAAGAATGAAAATTACAAATTTAAGTCTGTTCCAGTTGTATTTCCAACAAGATGATTGAAAATTGTCCGACGGTCACGAAGGTTAATGACCGCCATTTTGTACACAACAAGACATATTGAAGGGAGACAACACCATCTGTTATTTTAAAATGTACATTTGCAACGCTGGAGTTGTCTTTCTTTTACCAATGTATGAGCATACGAACATTCACTTTAAGTATGTAAAATACGGAACCGAGTTCGGAATGCGGATTGGAAGTCTGGTCAATGGTAAAAGAAAATTGACTGCGTCATTTTCTAAAAATGGACAAAATTTATGGACTCTGGACAATTCCACCTGTTGCATACACAAATACCCTGGCCATGCTGGGCCACCCTGCTCCCCTAGTTTTATTTTTCTATGTCACATACACATACCTGTCTCTTAAAAGCAGACAGTTTAATTTTATGTTGACAATTTTTAGATCCCATTGGCACTATTTAAGTATCGTAAAAGCATACTTAATTGTTGACCATTTCTCCAGAATATTTAGGGCTCAAAGGGGACTATACTCGAGGTCACGTCTAGGTGTTCTGACGGAGTATATGAAATTTTAACTAGAGGCTCTCAAGAGCCTGTGTTGCTCACCTGTATTTACTGATGCTTTGGAAATCATGTAAAATAAGGTTAAAATCATAATTAATAGTATTAGATATTAGATATTATAATGATATCGAAGATAATAACAAATAAAATGCTTCGCTGGGGCGCAGCTTGATACGACCGCAGAGGTCGAACCCTGAACAGTTGGGGCAAGTATGGACACAACATTCAAGCTTGATACAGCTCTGAATTTGGATTGTTATTAAATATTTGACACAGCATACGTTTCTGACACAGAAAGAATGTGGTCTAAGAATTTGAATTTTTTTTAATTTACCTATTATGGTCCAATGTCCAAAATCAAAATACATGGTTAGATTCAGCATATCAAAGAACCCCATATATTCAATTTTTGTTAAAATCAAACAAAGTTAAATTTGGAACCCCAACTTGGACAAACTTGAAAACTGGGCCCATAATCAAAAATCTAAACACATGTTTAGATTCAGCATATCAAAGAACCCCAAGAATTCAATTTTTGCTAAAATCAAACTAAGTTTAATTTTGGACCCTTTGGACCTCAATGAAGACCAATTTAAAAAACGGGACCCAAATTAAAAATCTAAAAACACGGTTAGATTTGGCATATCAAAGAACCCCAATAATTCAATTTCTGATGAAATCAAACAAAGTTTAATTTTGGACCCTTTTTACCTCAATATGAACCAATTTGAAAGCGGGGCCTACAAATAAAAAATCTAAATACATGGTTAGATTCAGCATATCAATGAACCTCATATATTCAATTTTTGTTGAAATCAAACAAAGTTTAATTTTGGACCCCAATTTGGACCAACTTGAAAACTGGGCCCATAATCAAAAATCTAAATACATGTTTAGATTCAGCATATCAAAGAACCCCATATATTCAATTTTTGTTGAAATCAAACAAAGTTTAAATACTGGACCCTATCTTGGACCAACTTGAAAACTGGGCCCATAATCAAAAATCTAAACACATGTATAGATTCAGCATATCAAAGAACCCCAAGAATTCAATTTTTGCTAAAATCAAACTAAGTTTAATTTTGGACTCTTTGGACCTTAATGTAGATCAATTTAAAAAACGGGACTTAAAATTAAAAATCTAAATACACGGTTAGATTTGGAATATCAAAGAACCCCAATAATTCAATTTTTGATGAAATCAAACAAAGTTTAATTTTGGACCCTTTTGACCTCAATATGAACCAATTTGATAGCGGGGCCCACAAATAAAAAATCTAAATTCATGGTTAGATTCAGCATATCAAAGAACCCCATATATTCAATTTTTGTTGAAATCAAACAAAGTTTAATTCTGGACCCCAACTTGGACCAACTTGAAAACTGGGCCCATAATCAAAAATCTAAACACATGTTTAGATTCAGCATATCAAAGAACCCCAAGAATTCAATTTTTGTTAAAATCAAACTAAGTTTAATTTTGGACCCTTTGGACCTCAATGAAGACCAATTTAAAAAACGGGACCCAAATTAAAAATCTAAAAACACGGTTAGATTTGGCATATCAAAGAACCCCAATAATTCAATTTCTGATGAAATCAAACAAAGTTTAATTTTGGACCCTTTTGACCTCAATATGAACCAATTTGAAAGCGGGGCCTACAAATAAAAAATCTAAATACATGGTTAGATTCAGCATATCAATGAACCTCATATATTCAATTTTTGTTGAAATCAAACAAAGTTTAATTTTGGACCCCAATTTGGACCAACTTGAAAACTGGGCCCATAATCAATAAAATGCTCCGCAGGGCGCAGCTTGATACGACCGCAGAGGTCGAACCCTGAACAGTTGGGACAAGTATGGACACAACATTCAAGCTTGATACAGCTTTGCATTTGGATTGTAATTAAATATTTGACACAGCATAGGTTTCTGACACAGAATGGCCCGAGAACACAGTTATTTCGTAGTGCATTTCTTTTAGACAATAAATTCAAATTAAAAAAATCGCACCTGCTCTATCTCAAAAAGATTTTTACAGTGTAGTGTACTACTATTGATACAAATAATATCAAAATTATAGAAACTTCTACCAGCTCTAACTCAAAATATTGACAATTCTGTGTTAAGGGGGGCTAAAAATCAGTTTGACAGCTTCCGACATTCTAATTTTTGACCTTTTTTAACTGGACCAAATCACTACTTAACATAAAGATTTAGCACCCAAATTTTTTTAACATGTAATTTCATCCCCTTACTTAATATTTCATGCATAAAATATCAAGAAATAAATTGGGAAAGTGTATCAAAAAAAAATGCAAGTTATACACTGTTCACACTAGGGACTATATTTGTAGACAACGAAAACCAAAGGACGATAACTGTGTCCTTGGACCTAATAGGATAGAAAGACTTGACCAATTTTAATAAAACTTTGCATGACCTAAGCTTAGGCAATTTTAAGATAGTTGGCCAAGTTTCATGGACATAGGATATATATTATAGAAACTAGGGCCATTTTAATATTGAAATTTGGATGTTTATTTTTGACGTTTAAATCAAATATTTTCAGCTGTCAAGATTTTGGCCTAAAAAATTTAAATATTGCAAAAATTTGCTTTTTAAATACTCTTGAATATAATATAATAAGTATTAAAAGCAACGGAACACTCATTTGATTCATCAGATTTATCACAGTTATTCAAAAGTCAAATTTATATGAGCCTGTGCCTGAAAATAGAGATTTTCGAATTAAGGGAAGCCTTACATAAACATGCATTTTTTTCAACCAATTTGAAGTTTTTGAAGGTTTTTAACCATACATTATTCTTCCATATATATTAAATGTACTTTAAATGTAAAGAAAAGTTACAAAAAGCATACTACATGAGTATGAAATGGTCTTAGGCCATGTAAGACTGAGAATTATTTAGAGTCGATTTAGGCCGTAGCCCATATTTACATATAAAAATGCACACAGAGGCTATAAGGAAGTGAAATTTGTTACTTTTTGCTCATTTCTATGCTAAGATGTCATGATACAAGAAGTCTAATTGCAAAAGGACTCTTGAATTCAACTTTTTTTTTGCAGACAGTATGGTCTGATGACTAGTTTTTCACTTTTCAATGGAAAACTTGCATGTAGTTTTAGTCTCATTTGGCATATATTTGAACCACTTACTATCCGAAAGAAGAAAATTATGGTAGCATATGAAATGAATAGGGTGTACTGATCATTGTAAAGTGTTTTTTTTACAGATTTAGTGAAATATTTGTGACGGACTACAGATTTTATGTACAAAGCTCTTCACATTTCACATACATCAAACAGGCCGTTTAACCAGGGACATAAATACAAATATTCTGCACATTTTTTTTGAGATAATCTACTTTTCTCTAGATTCCGAGTTCACAAATGGTTAATTAAATTTGATTTAAGCATAGAAACACAAATATCAGGAACATAAAAAGCTGTCAGATAGAAAGTCAGCATGGCTCTTAGGCATAAAATGGAAACTGCTTTAAAATGCTTATTTTAGCCGTATAATGCCAAAATGGGACATTTTAACAGAATTTCTGTCAAACAAAGCTGTAAATCCTTTACTTTTATTGAGTTTGACAAATTGAAACCAGAAAACCATTCAGGAAAGTTGCCAAAGTACAGAATCTACATTTACGGAATTCATCTCTTAGGCCCGAGAACACAGTTATTTTGTAGTGCATTTCTTTTAGACAATAAATTCAAATTAAAAAAATCGCACCTGCTCTATCTCAAAAAGATTTTTACAGTGTAGTGTACTACTATTGATACAAATAATATCAAAATTATAGAAACTTCTACCAGCTCTAACTCAAAATATTGACAATTCTGTGTTAAGGGGGGCTAAAAATCAGTTTGACAGCTTCCGACATTCTAATTTTTGACCTTTTTTAACTGGACCAAATCACTACTTAACATAAAGATTTAGCACCCAAATTTTTTTAACATGTAATTTCATCCCCTTACTTAATATTTCATGCATAAAATATCAAGAAATAAATTGGGAAAGTGTATCAAAAAAAAATGCAAGTTATACACTGTTCACACTAGGGACTATATTTGTAGACAACGAAAACCAAAGGACGATAACTGTGTCCTTGGACCTAATAGGATAGAAAGACTTGACCAATTTTAATAAAACTTTGCATGACCTAAGCTTAGGCAATTTTAAGATAGTTGGCCAAGTTTCATGGACATGGGATATATATTATAGAAACTAGGGCCATTTTAATATTGAAATTTGGATGTTTATTTTTGACGTTTAAATCAAATATTTTCAGCTGTCAAGATTTTGGCCTAAAAAATTTAAATATTGCAAAAATTTGCTTTTTAAATACTCTTGAATATAATATAATAAGTATTAAAAGCAACGGAACACTCATTTGATTCATCAGATTTATCACAGTTATTCAAAAGTCAAATTTATATGAGCCTGTGCCTGAAAATAGAGATTTTCGAATTAAGGGAAGCCTTACATAAACATGCATTTTTTTCAACCAATTTGAAGTTTTTGAAGGTTTTTAACCATACATTATTCTTCCATATATATTAAATGTACTTTAAATGTAAAGAAAAGTTACAAAAAGCATACTACATGAGTATGAAATGGTCTTAGGCCATGTAAGACTGAGAATTATTTAGAGTCGATTTAGGCCGTAGCCCATATTTACATATAAAAATGCACACAGAGGCTATAAGGAAGTGAAATTTGTTACTTTTTGCTCATTTCTATGCTAAGATGTCATGATACAAGAAGTCTAATTGCAAAAGGACTCTTGAATTCAACTTTTTTTTTGCAGACAGTATGGTCTGATGACCAGTTTTTCACTTTTCAATGGAAAACTTGCATGTAGTTTTAGTCTCATTTGGCATATATTTGAACCACTTACTATCCGAAAGAAGAAAATTATGGTAGCATATGAAATGAATAGGGTGTACTGATCATTGTAAAGTGTTTTTTTTACAGATTTAGTGAAATATTTGTGACGGACTACAGATTTTATGTACAAAGCTCTTCACATTTCACATACATCAAACAGGCCGTTTAACCAGGGACATAAATACAAATATTCTGCACATTTTTTTTGAGATAATCTACTTTTCTCTAGATTCCGAGTTCACAAATGGTTAATTAAATTTGATTTAAGCATAGAAACACAAATATCAGGAACATAAAAAGCTGTCAGATAGAAAGTCAGCATGGCTCTTAGGCATAAAATGGAAACTGCTTTAAAATGCTTATTTTAGCCGTATAATGCCAAAATGGGACATTTTAACAGAATTTCTGTCAAACAAAGCTGTAAATCCTTTACTTTTATTGAGTTTGACAAATTGAAACCAGAAAACCATTCAGGAAAGTTGCCAAAGTACAGAATCTACATTTACGGAATTCATCTCTTAGGCCCGAGAACACAGTTATTTCGTAGTGCATTTCTTTTAGACAATAAATTCAAATTAAAAAAATCGCACCTGCTCTATCTCAAAAAGATTTTTACAGTGTAGTGTACTACTATTGATACAAATAATATCAAAATTATAGAAACTTCTACCAGCTCTAACTCAAAATATTGACAATTCTGTGTTAAGGGGGGCTAAAAATCAGTTTGACAGCTTCCGACATTCTAATTTTTGACCTTTTTTAACTGGACCAAATCACTACTTAACATAAAGATTTAGCACCCAAATTTTTTTAACATGTAATTTCATCCCCTTACTTAATATTTCATGCATAAAATATCAAGAAATAAATTGGGAAAGTGTATCAAAAAAAAATGCAAGTTATACACTGTTCACACTAGGGACTATATTTGTAGACAACGAAAACCAAAGGACGATAACTGTGTCCTTGGACCAGAATGAATGTGGTCTAAGAACTTAAAAATTTTAAATTGGACATTCACCTATTATGGTCCAATATCCAAAATCTAAATACATGGTTAGATTCAGCATATCAAAGAACCCCAAGAATTCAATTTTTGATGAAATCAAACAAAGTTTAAATTTGGACCCTTTTGACCCCGATTTGGACCAACTTGAAAACTGGGCCCATAATCAAAATTCTAAATACATGTTTAGATTCAGCATATCAAAGAACCCTAAGAATTCAATTTTTGTTAAAATCAAACTAAGTTTAATTTTGGACCCTTTGGACCTTAATGTAGACCAATTTGAAAACGGAACCAAAAATTAAGAATCTAAATACACGGTTAGATTCGGCATTTCAAAGAACCCCAATAATTCAATCTTTGATGAAATCAAACAAAGTTTAATTTTGGACCCTTTTGACCTCAATATGAACCAATTTGATAGCGGGGCCCACAAATAAAAAATCTAAATTCATGGTTAGATTCAGCATATCAAAGAACCCCATATATTCAATTTTTGTTGAAATCAAACAAAGTTTAATTTTGGACCCCAACTTGGACCAACTTGAAAATTGGGCCCATAATCAAAAATCTGGACCAATTTAAAAACGGGGCCCAAAATCCAAAATCTAAATACACGGTTAAAGATTCAGCATATTAAAGAACCCCAAGAATTCAAGAATAAAACCCCATTGAAATTGGTCAAGAAATAAGCAATTTATACGAAGTATCTTCTTTTGCACAATACTGTGCAATTAAATATTTCTTGCTATTGCGCAATACTGTACAATTGACAATTTCTTGCTATTGCGCAATATTGTGCTATTGGATATTTCTTGCTATTGCGCAATACTGTTTAATTGAAGATTTCTTGGTATTGCACAATACTGTGCAATTGAAGATTTCTTGCTATTGTGCAATACTGTGCAATTGAAAATTTCTTGCTATTGCAAAAAAGGAAATAAACTGCTTCGCTGAGCGCAGCTGGATACGCCCACAGAGGTCCAACCCTGAACAGTTGGGGCAAAAATGGACACAATATTCAAGCTTGATACAGGTCTGAATTTGGATTGTATCAAATATTTGACATATTATAGGTTTCTGAATAAATGTAGTCAAAGAACTTGAAATTGGTTATATGAATTGAATTTATATTCAATTAAAGATTTTTTGCTGTTGTGCAATACACTGTGCTGTTGCGCAATACTTAGTAAATATGTTGTCAGACTATATATATAGCTATAAACAATTAAAGTTCAATTAATTCTCAATGTCATATTAGAAATTTATGAAAATGTAAAGGGAGCTTACATCAATAGATATAAACAATTCACCAAAGTTTCATGAGAATTGCTGACAGCATTTTTGAGTTATTGTCTGAAAACTAGAAAATCCCCCCTTTTTTAATGAATAAAACCCCATGACTCAGAAATGTAAAATGTAAAATTTATAAAATTCTAAACGGAGCTTACATCAATAGATATAAACAATTCACCAAAGTTTCATAAGAACTGCTGAAAGCATTTTTGATTTTTTGTCAGAAAACTGGAAAATCCCCCTTTTTTTATGAATAAAACCCTGTAACTCGGAAACGTAAAATCTAAAATATATAAAAATCAAAAAGGGAGCTCATGTCAATAGATATAAACAATTCACCACAATTTCTTGCAAGTTGGTGAAAGCATTCTTGAGTAATTGTCAAAAAACTGGAAAATTCCCCTTTTTTTAATGAATAAAACCCCATAACTCAGACACGTAAAATCTAAAACTTATAAAAAACGAAAGGGACCTCACGTCAATAGATATAAACAATTCACCAAAGTTTTATGCAAATTGGTTAAAGCGTTTTTGAGTTAATGTCCGACATGTTGACGACGGACGGACGGACAGACGGACGGACGGACAACGGTATACCATAATATGTCCCGTAAACGGGTGTATAAAAAAGAAAAAAAGGAAAAAAAAAAAAATCCCCCCCCCCCCAAATTTTTTGAACCCCCTTATGATTCATCACCCCCAAACTCAATCCCAGCCTTCCCTTTGTGGTATGGTACCTTGCAGTACAATTTCAGAGAGATCCATACACTTAAACACAAGTTATTGTCTGGAAACTAGAAAAATGTTTTTTGGCCCCTTTTTGGCCCCAAATTCCTAAACGTTTAGGGCAATTACTCCCAAACTCAAACCCAGCTTTCCCTTTGTGATATGGAACCTTGTAGTACAATTTCAGAAAGATCCATACACTTACACACAAGTTATTGTCCTGAAACTAGAAAAATGCTTGTTTTTTGCCCCTTTTTTCCCCCTAATTCCTAAAATATTGAGGCAATTAACCCCATCATCAATCCCAGCCTTCCCTTTGTGGTATGGTACCTTGCAGTACAATTTCAGAGAGATCCATACACTTGAACACAAGTTATTGTCTGGAAACTAGAAAAATGCTTATTTTTGGCCCCTTTTTGGCCCCCAATTCCTAAACTTTCGGCAATTACCCCCAAACTCAATTCCAGCTTTCCCTTTGTGATATGGAACCTTGTAGTACAATTTCAGAAAGATCCATACACTTGCACACCAGTTATTGTCATGGAACTAGAAAAATACTTGTTTTTTGCCCCTTTTTTGGCCCCTTATTCCTACAATTTTGAGGCAATTAGCCCCAAAATCAATCCCAGCATTCCTTTTGTGATATGGAACCTTGTGGTACAATGTCAGAGAGATCCATACACTAACACACAAGTTATGTCTGGAAGTTACAAAAATGCTTATTTTTGGCCCCTTTTTGGCCCCTAATTCCTTTACTGTTGGTACCATAACCCCCAAAATCAATCCCAATCTTACTTTTGTGGTATTGAACCTTGTGGTAAAATTTCATAGAGATCCATTCACTTAAACTAAAGTTAGAGTGCGAAAACCAATGTGTCTTTGGATGACGCCAGACGACGCCGGACGACGACGACGACGACGACAACGTCATACCAATATACGCCACAAAAATTTTTTGGCAGTCGTATAAAAACTAAATACACGGTTAGATTCAGCATCTTAAAGAACCCCAAGAATTCAAGAATAAAACCCCATTGAAATTGGTCAAGAAATAAGCAATTTATATGAAGTATCTTCTTTTGCACAATACTGTGCAATTAAATATTTCTTGCTATTGCGCAATACTGTACAATTGACAATTTCTTGCTATTGCGCAATATTGTGCTATTGGATATTTCTTGCTATTGCGCAATACTGTGCAATTGAAGATTTCTTGCTATTGCGCCATACTGTGCAATTGAAGATTTCTTGCTATTGTACAATACTGTGCAATTGAAAATTTCTTGCTATTGCACAATACTTATTATATAATAATTTACACATCCTGTTTGGTGTGTATCTCCTACCATATCATTATTATTTGCTTCTAAATATAAATCAGAAATAACCAACTTAAAATGGAAAATTTTAAAGAAAAAAAAAGGAAAAAAAGAAAAAGAAGGAAACCCCCTCCCCCCAAATTTTTTGAACCCCCTTATGATTCATCACCCCCAAACTCAATCCCAGCCTTCCCTTTGTGGTATGGTACCTTGCAGTACAATTTCAGAGAGATCCATACACTTGAACACAAGTAATTGTCTGGAAACTAGAACTAGAGGCTCTAAAGAGCCTGTGTCGCTCACCTTGGTCTATGTGCATATTAAACAAAGGACACAGATGGATTCATGACAAAATTGTGTTTTGGTGATGGTGATGTGTTTGTAGATCTTACTTTACTGAACATTCTTGCTCCTTACTATTATCTCTATCTATAATGAACTTGGCCCGGTAGTTACAGTGGAAAATACTTTGTTAAAATTTACAAAAATTTACAAAATTTATGAAAATTGTAAAAAATTGACTATAAAGGGCAATAACTCCTTAAGGGGTCAATTGACAATTTTGGTCATGTTGCCTTATTTGTAGATTTAACTTTGCTGTACATTATTGCTGTTAACAGTTTATCTCTATCTATAACAATATTCAAGATAATAACCAAAAGCTGCAAAATTTTCTTAAAATTACCGATTCAGGGGCAGCAACCCAACAACGGGTTGCCTGATTGGTCTGAAAATTTCAGGGCAGATAGATCTTGACCTGATTATCAGTTTTACCCCATGTCAGATTTACTCTAAATGCTTTGGTTTCAGAGATATAAGCCAAAATCTACATTTTACCCCTATGTTCTATTTTTAGCCATGACTGCCATCTTAGTTGGTTGGCGGGGTCATCGGACACATTTTAAAACTAAATACCCTAATGATGATTGTGGCCAAGTTTGGATAAATTTGGCCCAGTGGTTTCAGAGAAGAAGATTTTTGTAAAAAGCTAACGACGACTACGACGACGACGACGAGGGACGCCAAGTGATAAGAAAAGCTCTGATTCCCTAAACAAAAGACTATCATGAACTTAAAAATAAATGACCCTCCATATGGTTTGTATTATTTACTCTATATATATATATGTACAGGCCAATAAGAGGAACCCATATCTGAAAGTAAGCTCTGAAAGGCAAACACAAAGATTCATAATCACAGCATAATGGCTCTTCATCATATACTTTCATTAAAAATTCCAATTAGTAAAGTCATAAAAAAAGCCAGCAGTTCCTGATTATAAGAAACTAAAGACAGTCGTCATACAACATCTAGAGGGAGGTTTGATGCAATTTAAAACCTGGTTTAACACATCATTTCTTAAAATTCCTGTACCAAGTCAGGAATATGATGATTGTCAATAAATTGTTTCATGTTCATGGATGGAAATGCTCTTGGATTTGCTTTCGTTATTATGGACTTATCCATCTGATCTTGTTCTTAGTTTTCATCAACAGGTAGCCACATGTCAACCATGTCGTTTGTTTTCTTCACCAGAAATACTGCCACTACAAAGAGGGATAACTATAAAAATTCTTTTACTTTCGATTTCGAATCTCAGAGGAAAACCTACCAACGTTTTGAGAAACAAAACAGCAACACCAGCAAAAATAATCTGAAATTTAAATACCCACATTGCACAAAATAAAAAGAAATCAGAAATGACCAATGATCCATGAAACAAATTTTTTTTTACAGCCATACCACAGACAAAATAAATATTGAAAAAATATGACCACCCACAAAAAAAAAAAAATCGTATGCCGTTTGAAATCAATCCCAACCTTCCTTTTTTGGTATGGAACCTTGTGGTACAATTTCATAGAGATCCATACACTTATACTCTTGAAAGTTATTGTCTGGAAACCAAATGTCTTCAGACAAAGACGATGACGACAACAAAATTGCCATACCATTATACGGCCACAAACTTTTGAGGTCGTATAAAAACCTACAATCTGTATCAATAATTAGTTCTCGTCCTGGATATGCATGAAATATTTTCTTCTTTTGCACTTATAGACTGTGTCCAAGATTCCTGTAATAATCTCCACTTGATATGTTTTCAGACAACATTTATGATAACAAATCACATTTTCATATAGGCTGACATGTTTGGGCGTTCCTAAAATATAATCATGATTGCCCATTTATGAAAAGGACATGTTTGGCGTCCTTCACATGTAAGACATGTTTCAGCATACAATGACGTCAGATTGCATGATAAGAACTGTATAAATTTATGCATGTTCTATGAAAAAAATGAACAAAGCATATATGTAATACCTTTCCACTAGTGTCTCCAGCACAGATATACTTGTTAGAACTTCTGAATATTGCACATCCAGGCTCAGGCACATCGACCTACATGTAAAGAATTTTAGAAAATTAAATTTGCCATCTAGTGGTAGCTGTATACAAACATCAACTAGGTGAAATAAATTGATATAGACAAAAAATAGGGCAAACATTTTTTAGACAGCAATATTGAAAAGTAGAATATCCAGATAGTCTTGTCATTGGTTGCCTTAAGCACACAAAAAATATGCATCTCTGTCTGATAATTAAAAGACCTTTATCTAATTAAATCCATTATCCTATACCATCTTGCTTCACTTTTCATAAGGAGTACTCCAAGGTAGAGCAAAAAATTGTGTCTTTTAAAAATAAATGTGGATAGTGTCCACATGTGGACACAGATGATGCCCCCGCTTGCATACCATATAGTTATAAAGGGACATAACTGAAGAATGGTAGAAGTGACGATACCCAAATTTGAACTTGATCTGAGTTCTGTGGTAATTAGCATTGTGTGCAAGTATTATAACATTTGGTTGAGGCTAACTTAAGTAAAGAACAGAAACTAACAAGAGGCTGTCAGAATGACAGCAAACTGGATTTTCCTGCAGAGGTCGAACCCTAAACAGTTGAGCAAGTATGGACACTACATTTAAGCTTAAAACAGCTCTGAATTTGGATTGTGATTGAATATTTGACACAGCATAGGTTTGTGACACAAAAGGAATGTGGTTTAAGAACTGAAATACTTGAAATTGGACATTTAAATACCTATTAAGGTCCAATATCATAAATCTAAGTACATATTAGAATCAGCATATCAAAGAACCCCAAGAATTCAATTTTTGACAAAATCAGACAAAAGTTTAATTTAAGACCCTTTGGACCTCAATGTGGACCAATTTAATAAAGGAGCCCACAATCCAAAATCTCTCAATACATGGTTAGATTCAGCATTTCAAAGAACCCCATAAATAATTTTTTTGTTGAATCAAACAAAGTTTAATTTTGGACCCTGATTTGGACCAACTTGAAAACTGGGCCCAAAAATCATATATTTAAATACAGGTTTAGATTCAGCATTTGAAAGAACCTTATATATATTTAATTTATGTTGAAATGAAACACAGGTTAATTTTATCCATAATATTTTCTGTGCAAAGGGAAATAACTCCAACTGGATAAATAGTTCTCTAAAATAAGATATGATGCAATTTTAGCTCACCTGGCCCAAAGGGCAAAGTGAGCTTTTCTCATCACTTGGCGTCCGTCGTCGTTGTCGTCCGTCGTCGTCGTTAACTTTTACAAAAATCTTCTCCTCTGAAACTACTTGGCCAAATTAAACCAAACTTGGCCACAATCATCATTGGGGTATCTAGTTTAATAAAATGCTTCGCTGGGGCGCAGCTTGATACGACCGCAGAGGTCAAACCCTGAACAGTTGGGGCAAGTATGGACACAACATTCAAGCTTGATACAGCTCTGAATTTGGATTGTTATTAAATATTTGACACAGCATAGGTTTCTGACACAGAAAGAATGTGGTCTAAGAACTTGAATTTTTTTTAATTTACCTATTATGGTCCAATGTCCAAAATCAAAATACATGGTTAGATTCAGCATATCAAAGAACCCCATATATTCAATTTTTGTTAAAATCAAACAAAGTTTAATTTTGGACCCCAACTTGGACAAACTTGAAAACTGGGCCCATAATCAAAAATCTAAACACATGTTTAGATTCAGCATATCAAAGAACCCTAAGAATTCAATTTTTGCTAAAATCAAACTAAGTTTAATTTTGGACCCTTTGGACCTTAATGTAGACCAATTTAAAAAACAGGACTTAAAATTAAAAATCTAAATACACGGTTAGATTTGGAATATCAAAGAACCCCAATAATTCAATTTTTGATGAAATCAAACAAAGTTTAATTTTGGACCCTTTTGACCTCAATATGAACCAATTTGATAGCGGGGCCCACAAATAAAAAATCTAAATTCATGGTTAGATTCAGCATATCAAAGAACCCCATATATTCAATTTTTGTTGAAATCAAAAAAAGTTAAATTTTGGACCCCAACTTGGACCAACTTGAAAACTGGGCCCATAATCAAAAATTTAAACACATGTTTAGATTTAGCATATCAAAGAACCCCAAGAATTCAATTTTTGTTAAAATCAAACTAAGTTTAATTTTGGACCCTTTGGACCTCAATGAAGATCAACTTAAAAAACGGGACCCAAATTAAACATCTAAAACTACGGTTAGATTTGGCACATCAAAGAACCCCAATAATTCAATTTTTGATGAAATCAAACAAAGTTTAATTTTGGACCCTTTTGACCTCAATATGAACCAATTTGATAGCGGGGCCTACAAATAAAAAATCTAAATACATGGTTAGATTCAGCATATCAAAGAACCTCATATATTCAATTTTTGTTGAAATCAAACAAAGTTTAATTTTGGACCCCAATTTGGACCAACTTGAAAACTGGGCCCATAATCAAAAATCTAAATACATGTTTAGATTCAGCATATCAAAGAACCCCATATATTCAATTTTTGTTGAAATCAAACAAAGTTTAAATACTGGACCCTATCTTGGACCAACTTGAAAACTGGGCCCATAATCAAAAATCTAAACACATGTTTAGATTCAGCATATCAAAGAACCCCAAGAATTCAATTTTTGTTAAAATCAAACTAAGTTTAATTTTGGACCCTTTGGACCTTAATGTAGACCAATTTAAAAAACAGGACTTAAAATTAAAAATCTAAATACACGGTTAGATTTGGAATATCAAAGAGCCCCAATAATTCAATTTTAGATGAAATCAAACAAAGTTTAATTTTGGACCCTTTTGACCTCAATATGAACCAATTTGATAACGGGGTCCACAAATAAAAAATCTAAATACATGGTTAGATTCAGCATATCAAAGAACCCCATATATTCAATTTTTGTTGAAATCAAACAAAGTTTAATTTTGGACCCCAATTTGGACCAACTTGAAAACTGGGCCAAAAATCAAAAATCTAAATACATGTTTAGATCAGCATATCAAAGAACCTCATATATTCAATTTTTGCTAAAATCAAACAAAGTTTAATTTTGGACCCTTTGGACCTTAATGTAGACTATTTTGAAAACTGGACCCAAAATTAATAAACTGCTTCGCTGAGCGCAGCTGGATACGCCCTCAGAGGTCTAACCCTGAACAGTTGGGGTAAAAATGGACACAATATTCAAGCTTGATACAGGTCTGAATTTGGATTGTAATTAAATATTTGACAGGTTTCTGAATAAATGTAGTCAAAGAACTTGAAGTTGGTTATATGAATTGAATTTATATTCAATTAAAGATTTCTTGCTGTTGTGCAATACACTGTGTTGTTGCGCAATACTTAGTAAATCTGTTGTCAGACTATAAACATATAAAATTTATAAAATTCTAAAGGGAGCTTACATCAATAGATATACACAGTTCACCAAAGTTTCATACGAATTGCTGAAAGCATTTTTGCGTTTTTGTCTGAAAACTGGAAAATCCCCCCTTTTTTAATGAATAAAACCCATAATTCGGAAATGTAAAATCTAAAATTTATAAAATTCTAAAGGGAGCTTACATCAATAGATATACACAGTTCACCAAAGTTTCATACGAATTGCTGAAAGCATTTTTGCGTTTTTGTCTGAAAACAGGAAAATCACCCCTTTTTTAATGAATAAAACCCATAATTCGGAAATGTAAAATCTAAAATTTATAAAATTCTAAAGGGAGCTGACATCAATAGATATCAACAATTCATCAAAGTTTCATGAGAACTGCTGAAAGCATTTTAGAGTTATTGTCTGAAAACTGGAAAATCACCCTTTTTTTTATGAATAAAACCCCATAACTCGGAAACGTAAAATCTAAAATTTATAAAAATCCAAAGGGAGCTCATGTCAATAGATATAAACAATTGACAAAAATTTCTTGCAAGTTGGTGAAGGCATTCTTGAGTTATTGTCCGAAAACTGGAAAATCCCCCTTTTTTTAATGAATAAAACCCCATAACTCGGAAACGTAAAATCTAAAATTTATAAAAAACAAAAGGGAGCTCACGTCAATAGATATAAACAATTCACCAAAGTTTTAAGCAAATTGGTTAAAGCATTGCTGAAAGCATTTTTGAGTTATTGTCCAAAAACTGGAAAATCCCCCTTTTCTTTATGAATAAAACCCCATAACTCGGAAACGTAAAATCTAAAATTTATAAAAATCCAAAGGGTGCTCATGTCAATAGATATAAACAATTAACCAAAATTTCTTGCAAGTTGGTGAAGGCATTCTTGAGTTATTGTCCGAAAACTGGAAAAATCCCCCTTTTTTTAATGAATAAAACCCTATAACTCGGAAACGTAAAATCTAAAATTTATAAGAAACGAAAGGGAGCTCACGTCAATAGATATAAACAATTCACCAAAGTTTTAATCAAATTGGTTAAAGCGTTTTTGAGTTAATCTCCGACATGTTGACGACAGACGGACAGACAGACGGACGGACAGACGGACGTACAACAGTATACCATAATACGTCCCGTAAACGGGCGTATAAAAATCTAAATACACTGTTAGATTCGGCATAACAAATAAATAAATGTGATCAAAGATTTTACAAATCTAATGCGCCATACTGTGCAATTAAAGATTACTTCTTGAAATTTTTCAATATTTGAAATTTGAAAAAAAATAATACTTGAAGAATAATTCTTTTTAATTTCTGAAATCTGAAATGAGAAAAAATTGACCCCCCACAATTTCTTTTTATCCCCCCCCCCCTTTTTTTCCCCAAAAAATTCTTTCCCTCAAGATATGGTCATAATCTCAATTCAAATTTCCAATGGAGTTGGCAACCATAATTACCCATTTAAATTTACCATAGTGGTAACTTAATCTATTTTATAATAGAATTAAAAATATAGTGTCAAATCTTTCATATGGATTTTTTTGTAAAAAAAAATGATGCAACATTTGCAGATATTTTTACTGGTCTTCCTTTATAAATATGCATT